CTTGTGAAATCCACATTGATACCATTGGGCTGCAGGGTTCCCAAGCGGAATATGAGTTGCTGTTCCTGCAACCTTCGGGTGGCATCGTTGTGATCACATTTGTCTTGATCGAATTATTTCAATGGTTGTTCGTGGATAAACGCAAATAAGTGTTCATATATTTTTAATGCACAATAGCAACTTGCTTTTTTAGTTCAGTGATTTTTTCTATGTAAACTACTCTGCTCTGTCTGGTCTCCAATTAACCCAGTGAACCGTTCAGTGACAGATTCACATTATAACCTCCAGGCAAATAAGAAAGTGCAATAAACTGTCCATGCAGAATCTCAGTTCCTGGAAAATGCTCTGCTATTTTGACCTTCAGTACAAACAATAAGTAGATGCACAAAAACCAACTTACAGTAAAATGTGAAACGGAGACAATGCTGAACTCAGAACATCAGGTACAAGAGGAATGCTCGTCAGACCGAAGTTAGGTGAAGACAGATGTCAGGTTCAGTGAATGGAATCAGGTCAGGGGCTGTTTTTCAGGGGTCTGGGAAAGTAAGAGGTTCAGCAAGATGTGGTTAGGGGTTTCAGTGCCAAGTCAGTTTAACAGTTACTGAAGAGTATCAGAGCTTTTAATAAATCCTCTTATTTTTCCCTGCACAACTCAATCAGAAACCTCCAAACTCATCAACTTTAACAGCCTCTAAGCATTCCAAATGCAGGGAATTGCCTATGGGAAAATTCAACCTCCTAGACAATTCTTATGGAGATTTGGCAAAGTTCCAGCGTGCTACACTGTTTGCATGGGTCTCTGGCCATCAGAATATCTGGGCCAATGACTCATAAAAGTCTCAACGCAATTACCAATGAGACATATCTCCCTAAAATTGACAACAGCGATGACAAACTTCAACACCCAATACATCTGAATGGCAATGATTCAGATTCTCAGGGAATGTCTCAATCAAACTCTTATAAATCATACAATAAGGATGATAGAAGCCACATTAGGATTGATGTATTTTGCCGCCCTTAAAATAAGCTACTGAAGCCATTGCATTCATTAGCCACTTTCGAAATGAAAATCCAGTGAGTATTTATATATCTTAAGCTTAAACTGCAAAAGTTCAATTTCCTCAAGGTTATTTTTTTCTTATTCTATAAGTTCATTTTGCATTTTTGTTTCAATACTGAAAGGCCAGGTTTTCACTGGAAAGACTTGGAAAAAAATGGCATGTAGGATCCAGGGCACTAGACCTCTCTTTCCCAAGATCTAATTTTCGTTAACAAGGGAAAAGGGAAAGGATGTGATTCACAGAGGAAAATCAAGCTCAGCAGGGCCATTTGAATTCAGTGCTGATTTTAAACAAATTACATTGTAGCAGTTGCAACAGCCTTAGAGCAGTGTATGGTCGACATTAACAATCTTAAACGCCTGATGGCCTTTGTATAACCGTCAGGATCCGAAAGTTCTTTTCATTATCAGCTCTTTAAGCGTTTAAAAAAAAAAACAAGTTGCAGCTGTCAATTAAGGTGTAAACTAAAACCTCTTCTGGAATGGTTTGATTTACAGTCATAGGTCAGAAACCAAAAGTGGCATCTGTTCAACAGTTTCAAAAGGGCTCTATGTTGACATACTATAAGGACCATCATGAAGTCATTGTGAACACTTGACTGAGTATCAATTTAAAAAACTACTTTTAATCATTCAGATATTCAAATTATCTCAGCAACCAGTTTTGATTTTAGTCTGACAGCTTAAAGATGCTTTTAGAAACCACTGATGTAATTTCTGAATGAAAGTTCATTTTTAGAAGAGATTACTCACTTTAGGAGTGTCAGAATTTTTGAATGGGTTTTATAAATGATATTTTTTTGAGAGGTGCACTGGAGTAACATTGGATGATGTAAAGTCAATTTTTTTCCCAACTCCACATGATTCCCAAGGTCTGCCCTTGAATAAGGGGTGGATTGAAGGGTCTGAGAAGCCAGGGTGGGAAAAGGGTGCATGACTTGCAACTAAGTTCACACAGAGGTACCAGCGTACCATTTTTATGATATGGAGGTGCTGAGGGACACGAAAGGCAAGAGGTAGCAAATATGACAATTTATAAAACAACTAGAACAATGTCCCAGAGAACTAAGACAGGATTCTAACCAGCACACGCCCCTTCCTGTGGTTACCTACTTCTGCTTCCAGGGTTGGCATGCCTGACTATCTTGCACCCTCCCAATCTCACCCATCTCAGAAATGAAAATCACATGTGTCAGGGTGCTTTTTAAAATGCAGGTAGGTCTAGCAAGTCTGGAAATTTCCCAACATGAGCTACTGACTCAGTAGCCAAATTCTGGCACTAAGTAACAATTGTCATTACTTATTTGATTCATGGAAGCAGAAGAGTGGATGAATTGTATGCTGGCTGGTGGACTCCATCAGGAATCGAATTAACTTAGCTCCAGGAAACAGCACTCCTAATTGAGTCAATGCTTCTACACAAGCACAGCAAATCTGATACAAATGATTAGGTAGTCATGAGGTGTTGCATAAATTGACTTTTGGGCTACAGTTAACATTGCTTGAATGGACTAGACCTTGTTTGGGTTATACTTTAGAAGGAGAAAAACCTCCTCACTTAACTGACTTCAGTTCACAGTCACCTCTTGCTGCAGAGAATTGTGTCTCCAATTCAACCGGAACTAATGTCTTAGGATATTCAGTACATATTCATTGCAACACTACGATCGCCTTTAAGTAGGCCAACTTGCTATTCTTTTCTTGCATTATTATCAAATGCAAACAATTACTGATACGTTTAAAAAGTAAAAATACTGAAACAGAAATTAGTTTTTAGTTTTTAAGGCTTTAAACGATCATTTATTGCAATAAATAAAGAAAGTGAGACAAGTACAGAAACCAACCATTGATCAGTGTCAAAAGAGAACAGCAGGCTTTGGGTCTACAAACTAAAATGTAACAATACTCAATGCATTGCTGTTATAGAAACAATTCTTCTACAACAAACCGTTCTTCTATTCATGTAACTCCAGATGAATTATCATACAATATACTAGCACAGAGATTGACTAAAATATACACAAATATTTCTGAGCCGCATCTCTGACAGAATTCAATTATTCAAATTTCAAACAACTTGTTCTCTGCACAGGCCATTCTGCAAATGCAAGCAGCAAAGCTTTTTCTCCCCATTTCATCTTCAGAATTCCAGCATTTGCAACAGTTTACTTTTTACTTTGCAAACAAGGTCCACTTTTTGTCAGAGATAGCAAGAACTGCAGATGCTGGAGACGGAGACAACACTGTATGGAGCTGGAGGAAGACAGCAGGCCAGGCAGCATGAGGAACAAGAAAGTTGATGTTTCGAGTCGGGACCGTTCCTCAGAAATGGGCTACTTGAGTATGTGGTTGAAGAGTTTCAGGGCAGAGGAGATTACCAGAGGGTTGCAGTGGGGACAGATCCACTGAGGTCTTTCTGGAAGGAGGAGGCCAACTTCTTCAAGATGGCCATCCTTGGAAGAGGCTTCACAGTGGGGTTATAAATCACTCAGAGATAGTAAGAACTGCAGATGCTGGAGTCAGAGACAACACAGTATTAGAGCTGAAGGAATACAGCAGGCCAGGCAGCATCAGAGGAACAGGAAAGTTGACGTTTTGGGTTGGGGTCCTGCCTGGCCTGCTATATTCCTCCAGCTCAATACTGCGTTGCCACTTTTCATCATGCTTTGTTGATGCTATGATAAATAAAATCCATTATCTCTATAGCCCCAGATTTAATGCTGAGAAAACATCGGTTCAAAAGACTTCTGATTCCAATGTTACAAAAGACTAAAAATCTTGTCCTTGGAGGATGTAAAAGGAATGGCTAGCCATTTAAGAGTTTTTGTTCCACCTGAAAACCAGAAAAATGGATACTGAAGTGTCAGGAGTTGTGAACCTGCGGTTGGTGAGGCAGATCAATTAAAATTTCAACAGCTAAAGTTTGGATTATCTGGAATTCCAGCAATGGAAAAAAAGGATAGAGGAAAGAATGAGAACAGAGAGGGGGAAGAGAAAATAAATTCCCAAAAAGGGAAAACAAAAAGAGATGGGAGTTTAATTTGAGGCAGCTTGTACTGGAAAGAGAAAATAGCTCTAACTCAGACTTAAGGGTTGAAGTATTCAATTTGCTCTTTATTGACTGAAGAAGAGGTGGAGATTTTCTTTACCCGAATACAGCAGTTACAGTTGTCAGTTGAGTAGATTTTCCTTTTGGAAGATTCAGCGAGTGTGTTACAAAATGATCACTGAAACAGCAAAGTATATCAGCCTGTGATCCCCAGGAGGTGGACAGAGCAAAGAACTGGCAGAAGTCGGTGACAAAAATAGTAGTCAGCAATATCATTACAGGTTCTTCCAAGTAGCAACTGTTTCTGTAGCCACTCAGTCCCACAGCAATATAATTTGCTTGCAGTAGGAACTTCTAAAAAATCAGCATGGTTTATAGGTTAAGATAAATCAAGGTTCTGGTTCATAATGTAATCAGAATACTTTGTGGAACCTGATTATTACATTATAAAACAGTTAAATCAGAAGGGTTTTACATTACATATGTTTTGATTGTTCAGTTTGATGATTTTATTTTGCATACGTCACCAATTGAAAAGGAAGCATGGCTTTAAATTATTAGCTTTCAATAAACCATATATTTAGACAGGATGGATAAAACAGGAACTTACAAAGCTGCTCAAGACGTAAAACTACCATTTGGTGGGATCTAACTTTCATGGTAAGGATACACAGCAACAATCCAAATAAACTCAAAAACTTGAAAATATACTCTGAATTTTGCTACCTAAATCTACAGATGAATGACTGTTACTTGTGTAAGGTCTCTGAAGGAGTCCAATACCTATTGGATGGCCAGGAGTCAAGTGTTTCAGGAAAAGAGAAAGGTAAGATAGAAAAAAGCATGCCCCAAAAAAAAAGTGGATGCAGATTCAAATTTCATCTGAATCGTTGGACTTGACTCTAATATTGCAGACTGATAGCTCCGTCAGTTCAACCAGCAAGACCTGGGGACTGCCTCCAGCCATGTGGAGTGTGGAAAAACTGCACACAGCCAATCAGCAAGGCAAGGCAAAATTGACAGACGGAATACAGATTTGGAAATGAACCATAAAAGGCTCAGCCTCCACATGGAAATATAATTCTGTACAATGGAAAAAATATCATGCCGTTGCACACAAGATAGATTTTTAAAACAAAACAACTGCAGATTATTTAAAGTATGCAAATTTAAACGGTTTTTCACTGATCAAAGCTCATTTATATAATTCAGGAAGCAATTAATTTCAGATTCCACTCATCTCTTCAGTCTACACACAGTGCTACAGCAGGAATTATATTTGACTACAGTCATACAATTGCCTTATATAGGGATATCAAAGCTTTCCCATTCAAGCATCAATGCAAACACAATAGTCGTAACATTAAAAGTAGAATTGCCACCATTTACAAGCACTGATGTCATTGTGGATTAACATGTGGCT